GCATTTCTTCCCTCATCATTTCCTTCATTTCTTCCTTCAGAGAAGTTATTTCGTCGGCATGCTTTTGTTTAAGCTTGGTGATTTCTTCATCTTTTTTCAGAGAGCTTGTCGTCACCGATCTACCATAGCATCTAACCCGACTAGGTTGCTCCTTTCCAAATACAGTCCTAAATGCATCATTTGCTGTTTCTCCAGAACTTTAGCGATTCTGAAGTTTAGACTGTCAAAAAATATTATTACACATCACTTACAAGTCAAGTAGATCGAACACTAAAAAATATTTTAACAAGTCAAGTCAGATTAAATAAAAGTTCAGTTGTTAGCTGGGTTTGTCAGACTTTCGTATGAGGTACTTAATATCTTCAGCCTATGAACCAACACCCAACTTCTTTTCAGCTATTTGCACATAATAAATCAGAACCGCGACTAGCACTGGCTATAGAGAAATTAGAGACAAGTCCAAAAATTAAGAATAAGTTGAACCAGATATACCACCTATGAAATTTCTTGTTTATCTAGTTAATCCTATTTAATCCTGTTTAAACCTGGTTAATTTTGTTTAATCCTCTTGAAACCTTGAACCAGATATACCACCTATGAAATTTCTTGTTTAATCCTATAACTGCTACACAAGCTTCAAAATCACATCAGGGGGATCATGAGTATGCTGAAAATCCGTTTAAGACATCACATGTAGCAGCTGTCGCTAGTACTGCTATAGTTCCTATTGAAATAGCTTTTGCTAGATTTTCACAGGATGTAGCTATTGTTGGGCAGAGTAACTCATGTCCAATCGCTATGGACAATGTTGTGCTTATGAGGAATAATTAGAAGAAGTCGGAGGTTGTGCAAAATCTTGAGAAATCTAAAGTCGAGGTGCAGCAACAAGTGGAGGTTAACGAGCAGGGTGTTGCTACAGGTCCAGGTGCTGGACAAAAAGGATAGGGGCAAACTAATGTACAGCAGTTTGCACATGAGAAGGTAAAAGCTGGTGCGACAGATGGTGATCGACCTACTGTTAGATTGGGTTAAACAACTGATAAATCAACAGGTGTGGAAGCTAAAGATGCTACTCATCCAATTGATAATCAATCTACTGCTGGTGCACAAACATCTCTTTTGAAGGATAGAAGCGAGCAGGTTGTGCAAAAGGAAGATTCACAAGAAGCCGTTGAACCTAAAGTGACAAGGAGGATCGTGAGATTGCTTTGCAAGCTGAAAATTTCAGCAGTAACGGGGAAACTACTTGATAAGTTACTGGATCAAAGGATGTTAAATCTAAGGACAATGGAATAGCAAGGAAATCAACTGGGGAAGACTGGACAATGGTGGTTCGAGCTTCTACTAGACTGGACAAGTATCTGCTCCAAATGACTACTTCTGAAATAAATAATATCATCTACTTCTGAATATTTATTTTTATTCAACCTTTATGACTCACAGATACAAAATGGAGAATTCTGTGCAGGCAACATCATATTAAAAATCTTGTGCAGGTATAATCATATTATTTGAGAAGGGTTGACAAATATCTAACATCTTGTACAAATAAAACCATATTAAAGAAACACATTCAGTTAAAGAGAGAAAATACAATAACAAGACTTAACTTGCAGCATGACTTACTATTGCAACTTGAGTATTCGTATGAACTTCCTTCCCTTTCTTTGTACGAGTTGTAATAAATATTTCAGAGTTTGATGGTTCCTCGTTGTTCTCTTTGCTTGCGCGCTACAAATTACATCAAAGAAGATATAAAAAAAATATCACTGTGTTCCGACAAAGTACAAATAGAAATGAAAGTCAGATTACAAAGTGTCGACTAAATATTACCAATGCCACATGCACTCTTGCAAAATTAATAGGTCCTATTCGATGCCTCCACTTTTGTTTTTTCCTATTTTCAGAATTTAATTGGCACATAGCCTAACTACAAAAGAAGCATATTAATTAATAAATCAAAAAGGAAACAATATACATGTTGCTAACAATATAATTTAAATGTGGCCTTTATTGCTTCTATTTTTTCACTAATATTAGTAGCAGCAGTTGAAGGCAGAATCCCAGGTGGCCATCAAATTCTTAATTTCCCACCATCCTTTATTGCTACTGGTGCATTAATCTATACAGCTCAATGCATACTATATGGTGTTAGACAATGTATTAAGGCTTGCAAGTTGCATACAAAATGCTCAAAGTATCAACCTCTATGAGTGTACTAACTCTACATCGTATGAAGACTGTAATTAATTTCTCAAGTTTGCTCTGATATTGAAAGCTCTACTAAAACTATAGTAGGTAGCTACAATAGGTAGAAAATGTAGAAATGTAGAAATGCCATTTGTAACATACTGTAACATAGGTAGAAAATATAGAAATGCACGGTTTAATCTTACTTGGACATCTTCGTCATCCCAATACTCAATCAATTGACGGAATTGAACTTCGGGTATCTCATTGACACAATTTTGTAGCATTTCGTCAATAGTAGCATTTTTATCAAAATATTTCTTCTTAATATTTCTATTGTGTCGCTTTCAAACATCACGAAGACCAGTCATTACCCACTTCTCTCCTTCAGCTGGAATTAAGAACTTGGACTGCAAAACAACATACAAATACACACACACACACACACACATATATATATATATATATATATTCTTAGTAGGAAAAAAACAAAAAATATATAATTAAAAAATTAATTATACTTACATCTCCTTAATTAAAGGAATCTGCACGTTTCTCTCTCCTAACCTCTCAGTCTCACCCGCGTTTTACCCATACCCACGTTCTTTTTACTATTTTTCATCTTCTGAAACCAAATTCTCCCTCTAAATTCACAGAAAATTGAAGAAACCCTTTAACAAAGTTGGTTCCCCATTTTACTCCAGTTGAAGTTCATCAATGAAGAACAACAAAGTTCATCAAAATTGAAGTCAAATCTTCAAAGTTCATACACACATTTACCTTCA